ATGATTTGTGAACCAGTCACTCTGTGCCCCCTGCAAGAATCTGTAAAGTGCCTGGAGAAAAGAGAATGAGAAGCAGCAAGTCTTCTCAAGACAAATGGATCATCTCAGTGAATGCTGCATACAGAGGCCATTGATCTGCCTTCCCACAATTGTATTTCCCTTCATGCAGAATATTATATTTTTGTCTGCCTGTGTCTCTGTGTATGTGTGTGTAGGGAAAGCTTTATAAGGGGTTCCACTCATATAGGCCAGATTGGGTAAGGCTGACATGTTTTCTTCTCTAAAGGATGCTAATGAACCAGACGGATTTTTACAACATTCAATGATAGATGCCATTGTTATCACCATTAAAGTGACTGGCTTTAAGTTTCAGATTTATCAATTGAAGTTAAATTCCACCAGCTGCCAGAGTGCAATTTGGATCAATGACTCCAGAGCATTAGATTGGGCATCTGGGCCACTACTGCAGTGACAGTACCGTTAGTCTGCTGGGTCAGAAGTCTGCAACTCTGTCCATGACTGCAAGATGGGTGTACCTACACTATGTGAATGCTCATGAAAGCAGCTCAGCACCATCTTTTCAAGGACAGTTAGGGACCGAGCAATAAATACTGCCTTTGCCACCAACAGTAAATCCCAGGAGAGAAAAAAATTACTAGGAATCACTGTTTTCAGCGATTAATCCATGATTATCCTGCACTTGACTTATTTTCACTGCTATTAATCAATTTACCCTACTCTTCCATTCTCAATTCCAATAAGAAATGTGAGGGGCTCATTAATTTCTTCTTCATTAAGATTGTTGCTATTTGTTTACCTGCCTCTGCAGTTTCGCCACTTTTCTACAAGTTAACACCCATTTCCCCCTTACATTGGTTTTGAACCCATGTCTTATATTTCTTTTCTATTTCTCTTTAGACTGCCTCTTTTTGATCTTTTCATGATAGCCACCTCATACGGTCTTGACCCTATTCCTGCTAAACTGCTCTGTTCCTGCAAACCACCACCATTTTCTCTGCAGAATCCTTGATTGTGTTATCATCTCCTGAATCTGTGGCCATTGTTTGCATAATACCAGGTTTGAACCTGTCCAGTTGGGTTTCAACTGAATTAAGCAGACATTTAGAGATATGAAACAAAGAAAGGGTATTAATTTATCAGACTCAGAAAATGCACATGTTCACCATGTGCCATAACATGATTATGTAAATTTTCATCCTTGCAGCATTGATAGTAACCTGGGACAGGAGACCTCCTGCACTATATGGAACCCAATGAAAATCAATAAAATCAAATGACGCCATGTACAAGTATATCCCTGAGCAGCCACAGGGGCACCAATATCCTGGCAGGAGGTTTGCCAGTCCCACTCAGAAGTGTTTAAACTAACATAGCAAGGGCACAGGAACCAGAGCAGTAGGTCAGCAAGTAAAATCATCGAGGAGGAGTCAGAGACTAAGGCCAGTAAGTCTAAGAGGAAGAACAAACAGGGAGAGGTTGTTGGACATGATAGAACTGGTGGTCTGAGGTGTATATAGTTTAATACCAGGTATGACTCGTAAAGCAGATGAAGTTAGAACTTGGATTATTACACATATCTATGATGTTGTAGCTATTACAGACTGGTGGATTAACATTCCACGATTTATATGTTTCAGATGAGATAGAAAGGGATGTAAAAGAATTGGTGGAGTTGTGTTACTGATGAGGGAGAATATTACAGCTGTACTGAGGGACCACACCTTGGAGGGCTCATCCAGTAAGGCCATATGGGTGGAGCTCAGGAACAAGAACGGTGAAATCACTTTGGTGAGATTGTACTACAGACTTTCCAACAGCTAGCAGGGTATAGAGGAACAGATATATGGATAGATTATGGAAAAATGTAACGACACTAGTGTTGTTGCAGTGGGTGATTTTTAATTCCCTTATAATGATTGAGACTCACTTTTTGCCAGGAGCTTGGATATGGGTGAATTTGTCATGTGTGTCCAGGATGATTTTTTGAAATAATATGTAAATGATCCAGCAAGGGAAAGAGCCATACTTGACCTGGTATTCAGGAATGAGCCTGGCCATGTGATCGAAATTTCAATGGGAGAACATTTCAGAACAGTGACCATAATTCTGTACGTTTTAAGTGATGTATGGATAAGAATGACAGTAGTCTTCAGGTAAAAGTACTATATTGGGGTAACGACTAACTACCACAATATTAGGCAGGAAGTGGGGAATGTGGATTGGGTGTGACTGTTTGAGAGTAAATCCATTTCTGACATGTCAGTTGATTAGAGTACAGGACCAGCATGTTCCTGTGAAAATGAAAGATAAGGATGGCAAGATTTAGGAACATTGTATGACAGGAGAAATTGAGAGCTTAGTCAAAAAGAGAAAGGAGTTATACGTAAGGTTTAGGAAACTGAAGACAGCCAAAGTTGTCAAAGAATACAATTATAATAGAAAGTAACTAAAACAAGGAATTAGAAGAGCTAAAGGTCATGAAATGTCTTTGGCAAACAGGATTAAGGAAAATCCCAAGGTATTTTATACATATATAAGGTACAAGAAGGTAGCTGGGGAAACGGTGGATCCACTCAAGGATAAAGGTTGGACTTTATGCATTGATCCAGAGGAAGTAGTGAGGCCCTTAATGAATACTGTGCATCAGCATTCACAAAGGAGAAGGACATGGTAGATGGTGAATCTCAGGAGGGACATGTTGATATTCTAAGGCATGACAAGACCAGAGTCTCATATAAATTTGGAACAGAGCAGAACACCAACGCTTCAATTACAGGTCACACTGATGTTGTTGCCTACAATGATAACGAAATGTCTCCACACAATGGAACAACTGGCTCAGTGAGCAAACAAACAATTGCATCCACAACCCGAGCTTCAAGTTTTCCCTAGGACATGTCAGTATAAAAAAAGGGATGGTGTTGAGTATTCTGAAAAGCATTAAGGTAGACAAATCCACAGGACCTGATGGGATCCATTCCAGAATGCTGAGGGAGATGAGGGAGGAAATTGCTGAAGTCTTGTACAAAATCTTTGTGTCCTCTTTCATAACAGGAGAAGTCCCAAAGGACTGGAGAATAGCCAACATTGTTCCTTTGTTTAAAAAGGGTAACCAATATAATCTGGGAAATTACAGGCTGGTGAGCCTTATGTCACTGGTAGGGAAATTATTGGAGGAGATTGTTAGGAATAGGATTTATTCATACTTGGAAGAATATGGACTTATTAGTGATAGGCAACATGGTTCAGTGTGGGGAAGGTTGTGTCTCACAAACTTCATTGAGTTTTTTTGAGGAAGTCACAAAGATGATTGCTGAGGGCAAGGTAGTAAATGTTGTCTATATGGACTTTAGAAAGGCTTTTGAAGGGTCACTCATGGCAGGCTGATACAAAAGATGAATTCACATGGGTTCCGCAGTGAGTTGGCAAGATGAATAAAGAACTGGCTTAGTCTCAGGAGACAGATAGTAGTGGTGGAAGGGTGTTTTTCTGACTGGAGAGCTATGACCAGTGATGTTCTGCAGGCATCAGCACTGGAACCCTTGTAGTTTGTATATATGGTGTGGAGGAGAATGTAGGCAGCCTGATTAGTAAGTTTGTGGACACAAAGACTGGAGGAGCTGCTGACAGTGAGGACGATTGCCAATTGATACAGGATGTAGATAGGCTGGAGACTTGAATGGAGAAATGGCAGATGGAGTTTAATGAGAACAAATGCGAGGTGATGCACTTCAGCAGATCTAATGCAAGAGGGAAGTATACAATAAATAGCACAACACTTTGTAACATCAGAGGAATGTAGGTGTAAAGGTCCATAGTTCCCTGAAAGTGGCAACACGAGTGGGCAAGATGATCAAGAAGACATACAGCATGCTCACCTTCAACATTCGGGGTATAGAGTATAAAAATTAGCAAGACATGTTGCAGCTATGTAGAACTTTAGTTAGGCCACAATTGGAATATTGTGTAACAGTTCTGGTCACCACACTGCCAGAAGTGGAGACTTTGGAAAGGGTACTAAAACAGTTTACCAGGAAATCGCCTCAGTTTGGACAACATTAGCTTTAAGGAGAGTTTGGACAAATTTAGTTTGTTTTCTCTTGAATGTCAGAGGATGAGGGGTGACCTGATGGAAATTTACAAAATTATGAGGCATGGAGAGACTGGATAGTCAGAGTCTTTTTCCCAATGTAGAAATGTCAATTACTAAGGGACATAGATTTAAGGTTAAAAGGGGTAAGTTTAAAGGAGATGTGACAGGCAAATTTTTTACATAGATGGTTGTAAGTGCCTGGAATGCGTTGAAAGAGGAGGTGGTGGATATGGATACGATAGCAACATTTAAGCATCATCTTGACAGATATTTGTATAGGCAGGGAATTGAAGCATCCCTGTACAAACAAAAGCTTTTCAGTTAAGACAGGCATCATATGCCAGTGTAGTCTTGGTGGGTCAAAGGACCTGCTCCTGTGCTGTACTGTTCTTTGTAATATTCCAGGTAGTAGACACGGTGCAGTCATGATATACTGAATAGCCTCCTTCTGCGATGTAACAATTCTGTAATTCAATAGAATCAAAATCAAGCAGATTCAACAAAGAGCATGGGCATGCAATCTGCTTCACTAGATTACCTCCAAAGCCATGAAGAAAATCAAAAATGCAAACAGAAATTGCTGGAGAACTCGAGATAACAAGGTGTAGAGCTGGATGAACACAGCAGGCCACGCAGCATCAGAGGAGCAGGAAAGCTGACATTTCGGGCCTAGACCCTTGCTGGAGAACTCAGCAGGTCTGGCAGCATCTGTGGAGAGAGAAGCATCTCAAGTCCAACATGACTCTTCTTCAGAACTGAAGGGAGCTGGAAAAGTGAATTCAGTAAATTCTATAATGATATTTCTCTAGATAGAATGTGATGTGACCATCATTTTGCAATGAATATTTACGTTTTTATTAAATTATATACACTCTTTCTTTTTAAGGATATTCCTTAAAGAGCTTGAAAATTGCATGGAAAACCCTGAACTTGTAGGAAAATGTTTTTTAAAAAGGGTAAGTAAACCCCTCCCATTGCCACTTTCTAACAAATACTTTTGAGAAAACTAATGATGAATTATAAAAGATATTATTCAACTTTGAACATGTAGAAAACTGACTTTAGAAAATTGGCTTGAATAATGAGCCAGTCCATTGAATACGACCAAGATTTTGCCCCCACTGAACTGAAAAATAACATCACCATCCCAGATTCCCTTAACAGCAGGAATATGTATGTGAGTTCTATAATTGAATAGTATGCCTGTATTTGACAGCTTGTAGAAAAATAATGAGGCTGATTTCTTTGAATTAGTATCTTGGGCATGCCGATTCTCTAGGTGCAAAGGTCAAGGGAAAGTGCCCAATTTTCAAAATGCTGGGCCTCCATCTCTTTGTATCCTTCTAGGATTTTGAGGCTTCTTATGAGGGGCAGTAGAAACAGCACTTACGACAGGTGAAGGCAAAATTTAAATGAGGCAGGAGCTGATGACATGGTCCTTCACGTTACATTACGTAAGGTGGATAGGTAGAATTACAAAGAGAAGCCTGAAAAAGTAAGTATCACCTTTATCCTTACAGCTTTTTTTTGTGATTTTAAGATCTGAATACCTCCGAGTTGTTTTTGTCCAGCAAGTACAAAAACCCTGACCATGATAACCACTGTCACCACGAAGCCCTCCCAGGTTTGTAGGAGTGGGAAGAAGAGCAGAAGTATTCTCTCATATCCTCTAAAGAGTCTTTTGGCCTCACCACTCTGGCTTTGCTTCTCCTCTCCCACTCTATCGCTGCTTGTGGAAGCCTCCCCAAACACTAACCATATCAGGAGTTGTTCCCTCATATTAATGAAGCCCAGGGCTCAACTTTGGTCAGAGTGAGCAAGTTTCTAGGCATTGGCCTCAATGCAATACTAATCATTTTGAAGAAACTTTGTCTGAATCGGACAATAGATAAGCACACATTGGAAATTGCTGGTCCTTTGGTATGCAACTCTTAAGGAAGAATACAAAAATACCTTATGCATCACAGGGGATGTGATCCATCTTCGGGAAATAATAGTTGGTTAACAAAATCACAAAAATGCCAAAATTAGTTGGAAGTAATTATAACTGTGCTTCTCTTGGTTTCTAAGTCATTGAACACCAATAAGGTATAAACCAATAAAATTAAGCTAATTGTGTAATTATATTTTTTAATTCTGTCTATGTTTTAAACATTGTTTCCATTTTTCTTATACAAAATGTCTCTAACTTTTTTCTACAGAAAGAAGAATTACAAATTTATGAAAAGTATTGTCAAAATAAACCGCGTTCAGAGGCTATCTGGCGACAGTGTGGAGACTGCCAGTTCTTTCAGGTACAATTTTTATGTTATCAAATTTCCCATCTAGTGTATTGGTTGGCTTCTTGATATGTGTGATAGCAAATGTACAGAAATAATTTGGCAGCTATTCTGCTGGCTTTGCAATGTTGTTCACTGTTTCTGCATTCTATCTCTGTCAGAGATTGTTGTCATATTTCGGAGCTCTATGGTACTTCTTGAATTCCTCTGGCCTCTTGTGCCAAATGTTTTCACCATTGTCACTCAATCTAAGCTCTGGAATTTCTCCCTAAACACCTCTGCCTTTTTTTCTCCTCCCCTCATTTAAAGCCCCCTTTAAACCAGCTTTTTGCTCAGATTCGGGTTATCCCATTTAATTTATTAAACCTTGGCTTATTTTTGTGAGATTACATCTCAGCAGTACCTTGGATTTTTTTTTTTACTTTAAAGACAAACTGTGTTTGTTATACACAACTTAATTTTTGTATTCGTGTTGCAAACCCTTAAAGGCAGTAGAAGTCAATCCTTAGTTTTTGCACTTATAAAATGAGAAACTTTTGCTCATCATACGGATTGGATTTCTGAGCAAAATCTAATCTAACAATAATGACAATTCAACAGTCTCGATTGAACATTACAGACTGAGGATCATGTGGATTCTCACCGTCTTGGACTTGACAAAGAAAGTCAGTACAGGGACAGATTAGTTTGACAATTTGGAAAGGTTTATTAAGCATAAAAACCTAAATTAACAAATCATGTGATAGTTTACAAGTTGTTAAAGGTTTTACTTTCTGGGTTAACCTTGAACATGTTACTTGGTCTGCACTTTGCTGCCTCTTCCTCTTGGTGTCTTGCTATGATTCCTTTATGTTGTTATGCATTGGTCTTCTATGGGAAACTTGGATGAAGCTGAATGCTTGTTTATGCTTTCATGAGAATTCTATTTTAACCTTGTTTGGTTATGAGGATTGCAATATGCACAATAAATGACTCTGGAGGTTTTGAGAGTTCTGAGATTGGTCCAAGTCAGCTTAGCTTTGTCCATGTGACTAATGTTCACATTCCATTACCTTACAAAGCAACTTTGGCATGAACACTTGCTATTGCCATATATGATACCTTCCTGCAAAAACAGTTCAGTCTGTACACATTTAAAATGTGATTAGCAGACCTGTTTTGTGTTTTTTTTAACATAAACAACTTGCTCAGTCTTAAGCTGATTCTTCTATCAGTACTTAGGCAGTCTATGCAATTTCTCAATCAAGAATTTCACAAAGGACAGATCTTCCCCTCTCTGATGTGGCATGAGTAATGGCAAGGAGGTAGGAAAAATATGGTAAGAATGAAAATGTTTGAGAAAAGATTTCCCAATTTTCATCTCAAGCCAAAAATGGCAACCTCAGAATCAACAACCATATCTCCATGATACTTGTATTGCATTAAAGCTCCAACTTTCCTTACTTAGACATCACTTTGAATTCTCCCACCTTCTGGTGCCTTTGGGCCTAGAGGTTCCAAGCCTGCTGAGAGTCTCCTGCACCTACGCAGGTTCATCCTCCTCATCTGCTTTGGGGCTTTGGGATCATAGGCAGGGTGGGTTTGAAGAGACCAGGAATCATTACAGTTTCCTGAGAAGAAACTGCTTTGGGGCCTGTTTGTCACTCCTGCTGTCTTTGGGTGCCTGTTAGCATCTCCCTGTCTTCCTGAGTGCGTGGGGCATGGGGATTGAAATCAAGTCCCTCCCCTCTCCTTGTCAAGGAGATGCTGAGCACCTATGGCTAGAGCACTGAGGTGCAGGTCTCTCTGCATTTCTGGCAGACACTGAGTGTGCAGGACCTGGATCTCCCTCGGATTGCAAAACTGCCCATGGAGATAGCCAGACACATGCATGCCAGAGTTAGCACAGTACTAATTACATTGGTGGGCTCCTGTATCCTTTAATCCAGTTTACCGAGAGCATTTGACAAATTGGCCTGATGTTCCTGTGCCTGTCTGTGCATTTTGACAAAGTCATTAATGGCCAAGTACAGTCTTGTATTCTATCAGAGGCTGAGCAGGTACTTGGTCTCTAGCAGCTCTGAGTGTCAGGGACCTGGGAGGTATTTCTTCCTCAACCAGCTGCAGAGATGCAACAGTGATGTTCTCATCAGATTGGGTTGAATCATGCTGCTTTAGCAACACGGAGTGAGGGAACACTCTCAGCTTGCTGTACCCAATGTGATATGCATTTGACATTTGAATATGCTCCCAGAGGTATGAAAGCCAGATGTTCCCAGTAGTGGTGAGCACTTTCATCTCTCCAGTTGTGTGATCCCTTGAGTAAGGTGCTGAAGAGCCTGGGTCATTAATTAGGTGGACAATGGAAGATTGTATGAGAAAAATCACTCCAAGCCAAGGCAGACTATGTTTAATGAATCACACCTTAGCTAAACATAGGAAAATTTCACCCAAAGTTTCTAACAAGATTTCTGAGAAAGTACTGCAAACATTGGAAAGCAGTTCAAACTAATGTTTTTGCCCTTATCAATTGCCATGATATTTTTATGAACAGTTAGATCTATATTAAAAGACATAGGTACATGCACCATTAAATCCTTAGAGCCCAAGGTTCCATACAATAGCAACTCCCAGATATCACAGACTTTCCAAGATAGTGGCAGAGTAGGCTGTTGTGAAGTTGTGCAGAGTATTTGTGAATTGAAAGGCAGAAAGTTAGAATTTGCTTGTAAAAATGATAGGGGAAAGAGTGCGCAGTCCCTTTAAGAGGTGGTGTGCTTTTCTAAGCTTGGAGATTCAGACAAAAATGTCTGTAAGCAGCTGCAGATGTACAGACAGTTCTAAAATTGAAACATATGTACCAATTGGATATGTGTTTGGAAAGTAGGCTTTTTAGATGTTAAGGCAACTAGCTTGAATATCAGCCAATTAATTTAAACCAAGCATTTAGAGACTGAAAACCAATTGAATTTAAATTTGATGGTGTTGATAACCTAGGACCAATCCTATTATAAGAAAATTGACAGGTCATCAAGGGTGAGGGTTTTTGACAATCAGGGTGAGAGCGAACTGCCATGGGAAAAGTAAAACTCTGGCCCTCACAGAAATCTTTAAGCCATCTGATTAAGTACCATCTAACAGGTACCACGGCACTCTTAGCTAATTTTCCTGACATCAGAATTCAATGAAGAAAGGCATTTCAGACACTAGAATTCGACGGAGAAAGGTGTTCCTGGCTTAGCGTCAGTGGAGAGGGCATGGAGCATTCTGCAAGATGCATCCTGACTGTAGTTTTGATAGTCTAAGTATTAAGGTATTTTTTTCTTATTACTTTGGTTTATATAAGTGGGACTTGTATTTATTGGAACAGCATACGATTAGAATTTTGTTTTATTAGGGAATAGTTAGCAGTTAAAGGGGAGTTATTCAGTTTGTTGGTAGTTCTGTTAATTTGTTCACTGTTAGAATTAGATAAATAAATTGTTAGTTGTCGATTATAGAATGACTGTCAGGAGTTCATTTCATTTAAAATCCCTTTTATAACAGATTATGAAGCGAGGTGAACTTCTCTGGGTGTTTTGGTTTTAATTATGAGAGAGGTTCAAACTTCTCTCCGTTACATGGCTCCTAAGCTAGAACGTGTCCACTTCGTCATTTCTTTTCTTCTCTTTCAATACAATTGATATCATTGGATGTCAAGTATAATCCCTTTACATCTCTCCTGATAAAGTTCATTATTTGCAATGGTATTTCTGTCTCTGTTGTAGTTTCTGATTGCTTTTGCCCCAACCCCTTCCATTTTCTTTGCTGATAACAGTTTATTATAATTTCTACTAATTTTCTATAATTCTACCTTTTCTTAACCTGTCAACATGCCTACTTGCCTTTCAGACCCTTGCAACCTCATTGTTAAATCACCCACCCTCTGGTGTTCAATTCACCACATCCAGTTAAGAGTGACCAGTTTCCTTCCCAAAAAGACTTTAGTGAATCAGATGAGCTTTTAGAACAGTCTTGTAATTACATGGTCACCATGGCTGATACCAGTTTTGTATTCTGCATTTACTTAATGAACTAAATTTAGACAGAAGTATTCAACTGCCTTAGGGGACTGAATTTATGTTTTTGGATTATTAGTTCAGGCACCGGATTACTACCCCAGTAATAATACACTGTATTCCTATACAGTGATACAAGGATAACCCCAGACTCCTGTCATCTATTAACAACTGCCTACACAACAGCTCCAGCCCCATCACCTCAAGTACACTGTCTTTTCAGAGAAACGTTTCATAGATGCCAACTTCTCAGACAGATTTCTTTTTGAACCCTTTTCTTCTCAACTTTCAAATGGATTCCTTAAATTGTGTTTCTGGATCCAGTAGGCCTCCACTGTATATAATTTGTTATTTGGCATCTATGTGCACATGAAAGAGCTGGGACAGTACTTAATACAAAAGGGCCTCTTTAAAGGTTGCTAGGATCTAAAGCTTTGTTTATTTTGTGTTTTCTTTCCAGGAGTGCCAACGTAAATTGGATCATAAACTCTCATTGGATGCTTATCTGCTCAAACCTGTCCAAAGGATTACAAAGTATCAACTTCTACTAAAGGTAATGAGGATTCTTGAAAAAGATCTGGCCTTAGACTGCCTGAAGATTAATAGTCGTAAAAGATATTTGTCAATATTTTGGCTAGTTTTAACATCACAGGCACCATGCCAATGATTTTGAAAAGGGTAACGAGAATTCGAAATTATAAATTTTTACATCAACAAAATTAGTTCACCTTTTTCTGGCATGAAAATATCTCAACTAGTGATATTCTACTGCACAGATGGAAAATTGAACTGTTTAATGTCTTCCACCATGGGTTGAATCTTATGTTTTTTCAGTTAAGTTCAAGTTACAATGAGCTTCTTCAAGGGTTTATTGCCACAAGACCTAGCAAGATTTCTTGCTTTATCTTACCAAACTCACCTCATTAATTACCTACTGCAACCCATGGCACTTTGCACTTCTAATTTCCACTCACTTTATCACGCACTATTCCCAGAACAACTTGCCACCTCTGAAACACCAACATCTCTTGCTCCCGCATCATATTTAAAAGCCCGTGTGCACCCGGACATGCAGTGGCATTCCAAAGCTGCCCTTTCAAGGACAGATCCTGAACAGGTTGGACTTAGGGAAGATGACATCGTAAGTCTCCGTCAGGGACCTGGATGTTCTGATGGATAGGGTGGACCAAAGTTGAAGCATCCTCTTCCTAGAGGACTGGCAAAGGAGGCTGAGCTGTCAGACCCTGGCAGACTGGTCTGAAGTTGCTACCTTGTCAGTGTCATCTCCAGGGTGTGGAGGAACAGTCAGCAATGCAGAAAGCAGGTCAACGATCTTCTCATTCCACCAGGTTTGTGGGATGCAATGGTCCTTGTTGCCCAGAAGCTGCAGCAGTACTGTGAGTCACGTAACCATCTGGCTGCCTCCATGGACAGGTTGGTGGCTGCCATGGACAGCCAAGTCCAGCATCCTCAGGGTTTTTTTGGAGATGTGTATACACCTGTGTTCTATCGTCTCACCCATTGGTACCCAGGAACAAAGGCATGGTGACAGGGGTCCCAGTCCAGATGACCCCTCTTCACAAGGAGACAAGGTGATGCCAGCAGGGGGTGGAACCACACAAAGGCCCTTCTGCAATTTCCACATGAAAAACAACCAGGCCCTGTGCCTCCACCTCTACCCTGCCTGCCTCCCTCCCTTTGATTCTTGGAAGTTCAAACTGAGGACGGTCAACAAGTTTCCCTGGGAGCACCCTCACCAAATCTCCAGGGTCAACGTGCTCCACAGCAAACAGGCTCCCTTCACCCCAGCTGTGAAACCAAGGAATATACTAAGATATACCGAGATGGAGAGAAGAAGAAAGTATATTTGAATACATTTTGGTGGCACTGATGAAAAAGGGTTGTATGCTACTCTCAGCTTATGGTTAAATATTCCTGATGTTAACTTTCATGTGATGGTGAATCTCTCTGTGCAGGCGCTAATCGCATCTTCAGACCATCTGGCAGCACTTCATGGCCATAGACATAGCTCCATCGATGGAGATCTGCACTGAGAGCCGACAGCACCATCTGGAAGGATAATGTGTACACTTGACAGTGAGACTTGATGGCACCTTCGTTCTTCCTCATTCAACATCCTTAATGTTTGGCTCTCTTAATTAGCAGCGCCAGTGGCCTATTGGATAAGGCAGTGGCCTCCGGAGCCAGGGATTGTGGGTTCAAGTCTCACCTGGGGCTTGGGTTGGGTTGAGTTTGCAGTGAGAGGAAAGCTGAAGTACTGTCTATGAGATTGGTCAGTTTACTTTCTGGGGCATCATGGTGGCTCAGTGGTTAGCACTGCTGCCTCACAGCGCCAGGGACCTGGGTTCGATTCCAGCCTTGGGCGACTGTCTGTGTGGACTTTGCACATTCTCTCCATGTCTGCGTGGGTTTCCTCAGGGTGCTCCAGTTTCTTCCCACAGTCCAAAAACTGTGCAGGGTAGTTGGACTGGCCATGCTAAATTGCCCATATTGTCCAGAGATGTTTAGGTTAGGTGGATTAGACATGGGAAATTCGGGGAATGGGTCTGGGTAGGATGCTTTTCGGACCGGCAGTGTGGTCCTCTTGGGCCGAATGGCCTGTTTCCACACTGTAGGGATCCTATGATCTATGATCTAATGGGCAAAGTTGTAGCTGTCAGAGAGTTATCCAGCAGTGGTTGTGCCAGCAGGTGCAACGTATAGAGAGGGCCAAACTGTAGAATGGTCAGTGAGTAGGCAGCCTGTGTGCTATATGTTGCACAGGTCTGTGACCAGTGATCTTTCCCTTTAAAAATGTTTGGATTGGTATTTACTGCAGCCCCCTCCCTCACAGGTCACAGGTAACCTGCCTATTTTGGATGTGCTCACAGAGGTGTTCTTCCCCCATTGCAAACTTTTGATTTGAATCATGATGGAAGGCGACAATGCGTGCTCTCCTTCCTGCAGCCTGAACATGTCAGTAAGGTTATAAACATCCATATCCCCTTCCTAGTACCTCATCCTACTAACACCACAGGCTTCACACTTTCCCAAGTCCCTACTAAACCTGACCTCATGCTCCTACACCTGCCTTACTTTACCATCCAGCCCTTGAGATATACGTGACTCGGGCATTCACGAACACCACCCAACACCCCCTCCACCCCTCCAACCATGGACTATCCACCCCACTTCCTGCATTATACCCTTCCTGTGCATGCTTTGCCATATAACCCTCTTGCAAATCCTGCTGCCCACCTTCACAATTGTACCGCACTCCTTGCTCAAAGCCTGTAGTCTCCCTGTCCTGAAGACTGACCTACTGAGACTCAGTTCCACAGCAATGGCTGCGCTTGTTCACCTACCTCCCTAAATCCCCATTAGTTTCCAATGGATTGACTGTAGCACACCTTCTCGATCAATGTGACCACAGTCCCAAGCAATACATACCCAGACCCCTGACTACTGCTCATATACCTTTCTGACCATGTCAACCACTAAGGAGCCACAAGACTGATGTGACCGATTCCCCAGGCAACAGAAGGTCAGACCCTTGAGCAATAAAACCTCAGCCTGACGTCTGACTGTGGCCAATTGGCTGGTATGGGAGGCTGCCCTTACCTTACAGTACTTGGGCCTGCTAACTGTCTACCCCCCTAAGACTTTGATATATGGCTACCAGCTTGCTGCACATGTGGGTTGTTGGCACATTAGCTGCTGGCATGTGGTGTAAATGTGAGATTCACATAGCATGGGACCGTTCTACAAGATGTGTGCTCCCTAGACTGAGGGCTGCTTATCAGCAAGACAAGCCACGTGTTTTTATAACTCACCTAACAGGCACATCAAGGCAATGCAGAAATGCCATGAGCATGCAGGTCAGCGCGAAGTGATCAAGCAGTAAGAGAGCAAGTGAGCATCACTGAGATGCAGCATAGCCCAGTTTGCAAGCTGGATGCCTATCCCTATGCTCAAAGTGTCCCCACAGCAGCCTTTCAATGTTAGTTTCTGGTGCACCCTGCAGTACAAGTCTCCAGAGTGCACTGCCAGTGAGTAGTAGAAGTTCCAATATAGTCATGATAGATTTGCAGATGCTGGATGCCCGTGTCCATTCAGGAGGAGTATGTGTACATGGTGCCTGCTGATTGTGTCCAGTGCCATGGTTTAGTCACAGGCAATATTGAAGTCATCTGGAGCAAGCAGCAAGCTGAATCCAGTAGGACCCTCTGGTGCCCAAATCCAGTTTTCCCATTATCTGGCTTATTTGATAAGTTTGGTAAGATTGGAGGCTGAAATTGATGAGGCAGTTCTAGCGTTAACAAGGCATTTAGCAGGCATTTATCCCACTCAATTGGCAGTTTTGCCACAAGTAAGAATCACACTATGCTGCTTATGGAAGCAAAAAAAGATAGAGTGAGATGATCTCAATGTTGAGATAGGTCTTGCCACACATCTCATTCGATTTGACTGCACATCTCATCATAGCTCATGTTGCTCAGATCCCAATGAAGTTTTACCCAGAATCGTTTCATTGGTAGTGCTCTCGTTTTCTGTAAATGTTTGTAACCACCCATTTGCTGTTGACATTGAGAAGTCTGAACATTTGGAAATGCATTAATTGTGTTCAAATGTGCTCTTGAGTAGTTTAGCCTGCCCTTTTGGTGGTAAGAATTATTACTATCAACAGAGATAACAAAGTTCATCAATCTGTAGTCAAGGGCCAGCACTAAAGAGTTCAAAAAATGGAAGACAGACTTATAGTCATAGAGCCATGGAGATGTACAGCACGGAGACATACCCTTCAGTCCAACTCATCCATGCCAACCAGATTTCCTTAATAAATCTAGTCCCATTTGCCAGCATTTGCCCATATCCCTCTAAACCCTTCCTATTAATGTACCCATCCAGATGCCTTTAAATGTTGTAATTGTACCAGCTTTCGCTACTTCCTCTGGCAGCTCATCCCATACACACACCACCCTCTGCGTGAAAAAGCTGCCCCTTAGTTCCCTTTTAAATCTTTCTCCTCTCACCTTAAATCTATTCCCTGTAGTTTTGGACTCCCCCACCACGGGGAAAAGACCTTGTCTATTTACCTGTCCATGCCCCTCATGATTTTATAAGCCTCTTTAAGGTCACCCCTCAGCCTCCGACGCTCCTGGGAAAATAGCTTCTCCCTGTAGCTCAACACTCTAATCCAGGCAACATCCTTATAAATCTTTTCTGAACCCTTTCAAGTTTCACAAAATCCTTCCTATAGCAGAGACACCAGAATTGCACTCAAATTCTAAAAGTGGCCTAACCAATGTCCTGTACAGCCATAACATGACCTTCCAATTCCTACACTCAATGCACTGACCAATAAAGGCAAGCATACCTATCTACCTGGGACTCCACTTTCAAGGAACTATAAACCTGCACTCCAAGGTCTCTTTGTTTAACAACACTCCCCACAACTTTACCATTAAGTGTATGAGTCCTGCCCTGATTTGTCTTTCCAAAATGTACCACCTCACATTTATCTAAATTAAACTCCATCTGCCACTCCTCTGC